AAAAGGGTGGGGGGAAGGGAAGATAAATAGTGATATGTGAGAAGTAAAATGCAGGAAATGATGGTGATCATTTTGGGCTGTCATGGGAAGAGAAGATGAGGAGATCTGGGTGCACAGTGGCTGTATTTGGGGGGAGAAGGGTTGTGTGTGAGAACAGGCAAGAAGAGAGGAGAAGCTGAGAGAGATGGCTTGTGGGGAGTGGCCCAGGAGAGAAAAGGTGGCTGTGGGAGTGGGGTTCATGCCTGGAGGATATCTGCTGGATTGGGGAGGGGGTCTGAGTCCACAGCTATTGTGGGGAGGTGGGAGTAGCAATGCTGCTCTGCCCTGCAAAGTGGTATAAGTGAAATAGTAGATCTGAGACATGGAGGGCAGGGGAGGGGGGCAGTGCAAAGGGAAGCTACCACTTTTCTCCCTTTGCAGATCCTGGCAGGGATAAAGTCAGCTCCTGTGGTACTTCTTGTTGCTGTTATCCACTGCCCTGCTTTGAGAAGTGCAATGTCCAACTACCCAGGCTGATGACGCACCAAAACATCTCTAAGGGCCTCTCATCCCTCTCTCAATGTAACCCTGGCACCTTCTCCCACCCCTACTCCCCGCCCCTGCCTCAGGTCCCTATGGGATTCCAGGGTCAGTAACTAAGGAGTGAGAACTGACAATATGGAGCTCCCCAACCCATCCTCTGCTCCCCCTGCTCTGTGTCCCCAGGCATCTGTCTACTGAAAAAACCACAAATCCTCACCTCTGCCTTGTATACCCCTAATTGCCAAGAGTGGTGTTCTCAAGTCTGTGGAAGAGGCTGCTCCAAATACCCCCAACTTCTTTGCCACTGCAGACCCCCTGATCAGAGGGCTGGTTTGGCAGAGTCTCTTCAACGCCTGCTTGAATATGACCTTCTCTCCAGAAATGTGGAGAGATGTGGGCTGCAAGGACTTTACTGAACTGTTTTAAAGCTTTCATGGCAGGGAGCTGGGGCAGGGTACTGTGTTGTACAAGAAACCGCTGCTTTGAAATTCCTCAGTGTCTTGTGGAGTGGGAGAACACTCCTTGTCTCTACAGGTTTTGATGGTAGCAACCATCAATCCTCCTGGATCATGGTGTATGCATGAGGGCCACCCAGACCTTCAACGCATATGCCTGGGCAGGAATTTTTGGAGGAATACAGACTGCCCAGCCCTTCCATCCTCCCTTTAGGTCACTGAGACAGAATCCAAAGACCAGACTGAGTCCAGATATTTGGTGTTCCCCTGGTTGTAGTTGTATAAGTGTCTGGGAATCAAACTCAGGTCTCCTGTGTGGTAGATAAAGAATCTACCACTGAACCACAGGGGACTCTAGGTTTTGATGGGGACCCATTGGAAATACCCACTGCTTCAGAACTGATGCAGATTCCAGAAAGCCACTGTTATTTAAGAAGTGCCAAAGAGTCCATTGGTCATGGCCCAGAGCAGCCTTGGATGTGAGGGACTGTCACAGGGGCTGTCCTCCAGGCAGGTGATGACAAAAAAGAGGAGCTATTGTACTGGCTTTGTAAGGGTTGACCAAGGTGGAGATTATCAGCCTGAGTAGAACATGTTAGCTGAGAGGTCTACCAGAGTACAAATTAAGGTCAAAGCTGGGTGTCCATCCTAGTCCAGGATAGCAAGCTCATGGTTGAGATGAAATCATGGTCAGGGTAAGCAGTTGATCCAGTCTGGGAGGTCTAAGGCAAGAGCAGGAGTGATCAGAACAGGAGCAAGCATGAGAGTCCAAGCCAGAGGTTTCAACACAGAAAGTCAGGTCTTAGGAGTTTCAAACAGGCCAGAGCCACAGCAAGGCAGTTGCCCAGACACATGGTCCCTCTTGCTGCTGTCTGGTCCAAGCTCAGATACACCAGGTGGGTGAGCCTCTTCCTGAGGGGAGACTCAACCTGATTTCCTGATTACTTCCAGTTGGAGCTTGGGACTGGCTTTGCCCCAGCTAGGCCATGGCTCATTACAGACTTCTATCCTGGCTCCTCTGGTAACCAGTAGAAGTTGGCCAAAATTCACTGCTGTGGCCTTTAGCCCTCACTCTGTTCCATGAACTCCTCCTGTGTGGTGGGAGACGTCAGCAGGGCACCGGTAACAGACCAGTACCCTGTAACTTTTACCTGTTTCTCTAATACTGAGTTGGGATTGTTCATCAGGCAGTGTCCTGACTGAACTGCCTCATAGCCCAGGAAAGCTGAATACCTTCCCAAATGGCACCTGAGTTTAAATGTCAAACTGAGTACCTTCCTCTGGCCTTGCACTTACAGGTGGCTGGGAGGGAGGTTGGGTGTCTCCTGCACTATGTGGGAGATTTGAATAAATCTCTTCTCATGCGGTTGTATTTGCTTATATCATTCCTGTCTTCTTTTGGCATCTAGTTCTTCTCTCTGCTCCCTCTTCCTGTAGCTGTGTTCCCTGGTCCTTGGAGATCTTGTGTGTGATAGCTGAGCCTCTCATTTTCTGCCCTCAAAATGTCCTATCATTGTTCTTGGTGACACCAGCTTCCTTTGATGTCCTATCTGAACCCTTAACTTCTGCTTTCTCACCTGTAGTGATAAAAGTTATAATTTAGAGACTCTCTGCAATAGAGAAGAGTTGGTAATTGGGAGATGTTCCCTCAGTTAGGGAGTAGCCAGCTAATCAGAGAGACTAAAAGTCTGCAGAGGCTTGCCTACTGTTCCACAATAAAGCTTGTTTAGTTCTTATTCATACCTGACTGTCTTTATTGAACCCAGTGATCACTATATGGTTTCAGAAATGGTGAATGAGAAAGGGCTTGAAAGAATTTGAGTTCCAAAGCAGAAAAGAAGCTGGAAAATAAAAACAAAGGGAGTGACACAGCCATGTGGAAGGACAAAGGCCTTTGTAAGTGATCTGCACAGCCATGTAGTCTAAATCAAATGTTTTCAAACTTTCTGAAGTCACAGAACCCTTTCCTATCACTAATACTCCTGCAGAATACCTACCTCCAGCCTATAGACTGACACGGAGCCAGGTCACCTGGACCAGGAATTGTGATGCACCACCTCCCGGCCTGGTCCACCATTGCCCTCAAATCTCTTTGTGGAGTGCGTGATAACTAGGGGGTTCTACCGAACTCGAGAAGGTGGCCAGCTGATTTCATAGGCAGATCCCGGGGCTAGACATAATTTTTGTGGGATAGATGCAGCCATCAGCTGATAAAATTTGTGTCATGTCCAGAAGCATAGCAGCCAAAACACCAAGTGAAGGAGGACCATTAAAAGGAACAGTGCTCCATTCATAGATTGTTAGGGGCTGGAAGGGACCTTTCAGATCATTGGGTCCAGGTCCCAAAATGAACATGTTGGGGATTGAACCCAGGACCTCATACATGCAAAGCATGTGCTCTACCACTGAGCTACATCCCACTCTTAAAGTTTTATGTGACACTACAAATAATGGCACTTCTTGAATGTACCACTCCAATGACATGATCAGACTGAAATTTTAAGACTTGGAGGAAAAACTTCTCACAGAAAAAATGGGAAGCCAGATCTGATAGTTTGTCAGTCTGAGAGGAAAGTTAAACCTCCAGAAAGACTTATAGGCTGCCTATCCACGTGCTTGTTCATATTCTAATTAGTACGTGTTGGAGTGGACTCGATTAATGAAGTCTGCTCCACATTCTAATTCTTCCTGGTCCTTCCCTCTGCAGTGGCGGCACCCCCCAGGTGGCATTCACCTGCTAGCATGCAGCCTGGACCATCATGGGGCGATCGCCACTGCAGAGGGAAGCACTAGGCCTCACACAGCTCAGGGGCTATGTGTGACCGTGGCAGCAGCTCGTGCAGGCAGGCTCGACAGGTAAAAAAAAAAAAGCGGCAAGGAGCCTGATCTTTTTTTTTTCCTCCCGGAGCCTGTCTGAGCTGCATGTGGCCTGGTGCTTCCTTCCGTGGCGGCAGTGCCCCCGGGCAGCACCCACCCACTAGCAGCTCACCTGGGTGGTGCCAAGGGGTGCTGCATCTGCGGAGGGAAGCATTGTCCCTTGAACCTTCTCCCTTGTTCCCTGGGGATAAGGTGTGCCACTGCTACTTGTCCCTGGGGGAACACACATTCCCGCTCTTGGGGACACGTCCACAATGTACAGCCTGACATTCATGTAAGTTACTTGGAACCAGGGTAGCATTTTTCTAGGAAAACTCTTCTGGGGTAAAACTCCCCTTAAACTCCCCCTTTGCTAAGTATATGTGTAATTGACTTCCCTTAAGGAGATAATCCAAATGTTTGGTAAAAATGTAGCAGATGAAGTTACCTGGATCCTGCAGAGTGCAAGGAAACCTGGGAGGAGAGCTGGAGGAAGGAAGAATGGGTTGGGAAGTAGAATGTGTTGACAGGATGGCTGGCATATTGCCGTAGCCAGGATGGTCAAGGAAATGTACGAAAGACAAGTGTTTTTTGGGATATCTTTTACTGGATGGTTTGATCCAAATCCCATTTGAAGTCAATGCTTTTCTTTGACATCAGTAGGTTTTAGATCAGGTCCAAGACAGCTCAAGAAGACAGAAATCTAGGAAGGAACCTATTTAACAGTTCTCCCATGGGGAACTAGAGTATGTCTTTTAACAGTAGACTGTGAGGACAGTATGTTGGGATATAACACTGCAGTACACAGTCCTGCACTGGGAAAAGCTGGTCTTTTTCATCTTGGACATCTTTAATCCATAATATAAGATAAAGTCAGGGGATAGGCTCTGTCTTGGCTACCTACTCCTTACATTTTTGTGCTGTTCCTGAACTGTGGCTAGCCAATGCCGCTTAGCAGATAAGGGCATTGGCTAAATAAGTCAGAGTTTAGGACCCAGGGACTTTTTTTTAGGCTTACAGGATGTGACAGCTAACTGGAAATCAATGAAGTGTACTTTAAGAAGCTTCATAATGATGCAAGATAAGGCTGGAAATGTACTCCCATTCCTTGCAGACTCTGTTCCCCTTCATGCTCCTTAATTAGTTTGTATTAACCGATTTCTAGGATGGAATTTGGTTATGCGTGAAAACGAGTGATCTGCTGTAGGAAGCTTCCACAATGCTGGTGCTGGCGTTCATGCCTCTCATTCTTTGTCTGAGCAAGTCAGGTAAGTGCAATTTCTTCCCTTTTCAAGCTAAATGGCAGAAATGCATTTTATTTTTTGAAACGCAGTTGGGTGTCTGACCTTTGAAATCAGGCACTGGCATTCATTGTTACACAAGTTCCTCTACTTCTTTGCAAAGCAACTTGGAAGACCTACATTTGTCCCTTGTATGAGTTGCAATAGCAGCTCGCACATTAGCAGTGCTTTCTTCAATATTAAAAGCCTTTTAAATTGGTGCAGATGCTACTTTGGCAGAGATGACGTGAACAAAAATAACAGAGCTGTTTTGTACCCAGAACAGCACAGCTTGTGTTTCAAACCCAGTTTCACAAAATATACAGCAGGTTGGAAAGGACAGCAATATGTTTTTGGGAACTGAGAGACTCAGAGAGTGTGTTCTTTTTCCCTAAACAGGGCGAGGGGTAGATTTCCAGCATTAAGAGGAGAAAAAAGCCTGTTAGGTGAGGCAAGAAAAGGCTAAATGTGCCATGTATATGTCTCTACTGCACAAATGGTGTGTAATAAACTTATGACACCATCCAGGCTGGATTTCTATTCTTTTATCAACTCACCTGCTCATAGCACCTGAAGGTCTCCCTGGCACATCCCCCTGTGGATGAGAAAAAGTTAACCAGGGCAGAATAAGCAGTATGGCAAATGTGATGAATTAAGCTTGCCTGTCAGAGCAGTCAAAGGAACAGTGAAACTTTTTTTGTGTGTGAATCAATAACATTAGAAATGAGTCTGAGCTCTGATGCCTGCCAGTCCTATCCATCTCTAAGTTTGACCCTGGTCCTTTCAGTATATTCTCAGTTGCCTTATCTGCAGTCTGTAAGCAATTCAAGCCACACTGCTCTTTGGGGAGGTAAGATCCTGGTAGAACAGACCCCTTTGGACGGACATGTTTTTCAGCCCAATTTTATTCTGTGTTCCATGTTACTTTATTGCTGTTAAATATATGGCTTCTCTGAACCAGCCTCAAATCTGCCTCCCATCTCTCTGCTCTCTTAAGGCCCAGAGTAAACAGAGACTGGTTCACATCAGTATGCACCAGAACTTACCATTTGCACCACAGCTGAATTTGGCCTGATTTATTTTCCCTCTGCTTTGTTTTTCTGTGCCTCCTTTATTGATTGTGCCCTTCAAGGCACACAATACTCCAGCTTTTGGACACATCTCACCAAGTCTCCATTGTTCCCTCTAGCCATAGCCAGGTCCCAGAGGCTCTGTGGCTAATCAGAGATTGAGGTTCCCTGCAAAAATTAACTTTTTAAGCTAATTATTTAGCACAGGGATATTGCTGTGCTGGGTTCAGGGAGGTGAGGGTGGGGATGGTTGTACTGAAGTAAACTGAAGGTTTTGTAGTCCACTGGTGTGCAGGAGAGCATATCCATGCTTCTTCTTAACACTCTCTGGGGTTCTAAATGACCCTGAGGCATGGAAGACAAACCAAGCCCTGCTTCCTTCTCCTGCCCACGGATCGGGTGAGGAGAGCAGGGGATGCCACCCAATGAGCTGGTGCAACAAGGGGTCAGAAAGGGATTTTGAGGACAGGGGATTTTGTGTGCCCCTTGTGGGCTGGTTGTGTGGCCACCATCTTCCCTTGATGAAACGGGGGATCCTGGACCTGGGGGAAAGCTGCTGCCTGTGAGGACAGAAGAGTGGAAGGATTCTGGAGGAGTCTGGAGGAGAGTGAGAAATGGACACCTGGCAGAGCAGAGGAGCAGCATGAAGTTTCTGCTTCCCAGCGGCCTGTAGTGCATACAGATCTCACTTTGCAAAATTCATTCCCACTGCGGGTTGAGCACGGGGGCAGGGAGAAGGAAGAGAGGAGGAACAGTGGATGACTCCAAATTTCTCAGGCTATACCCTGTCATGTTTAAAGCTGCTTTCTTGCAAGTCCTTAGCCAGTGTGACCCATGGTGCACAGAACATAGGACATGGCTCTATGCATGGTTTCCCAGGCTGCCTGCTTTCCCGGTACTCCCAGTTTGCCATGCAGTCATTGCTTCCCCAAGTGTGAAGAACTTCCTGGGTCAGGGTTTCCCACAGAGTTTCTACCCCCTCCTTTATTAGGGAATTGGATACCTGCTTATTTAACCTGGCAGATCTTAGATCAGTGGGGAGGGGTTAACAGGAACAGCAGCTTTCTCCAAGATGTATCACCAATACCATGCTATGTTTGCTTCCTGCTTCAGCGGGTACACAGGGACAATGTAAGATGAGGTCTGGCTGGCTCTTCCAACACCCTTTAAAAAGCACATTAATAAGCAATTAGCAATACTCCCACTCACAGTAAAAAATCCAGCACTAACAGAAATGGATCAAAACCCCAGCTGGTTTCCACAGCCAGTCCACATTGGAGTTAATTTACCTCCCTTGCCCCCTTCACTGTCGGTATTGAAAGCCCACAGACTCAATTCCTCAAGGTTTATCCATCAAGCTTCTGGGGGGAGGCTTAAGTACTTGGTGTCATCTGTGCTGCCTTTCCTCGTTGGCTCTTTCCTTCAAGCAGTGCTCCATGTCACATAGTCACATGCACAGACCCCCTCCTCCTCTCTCTGCTTTCTTTCAGCTTTGGCTTCCTTCGGCTCCATTGCTGAGAATGAAGATGCTCTCCTGAGGCACTTATTTCAAGGGTATCAGAAATCGGTTCGACCGGTTGAAAACTCCAATGATACAATAAAAGTCCTCTTTGGATTAAAGATATCTCAGCTAGTGGATGTGGTAAGCAACTGAGAGGACCTTTAAGAAAGAACAAATCTTGACTCAGCAAACTCACGCTGTTGTCATTATTGTCTATGGGGGAACTAGACTCTAGGAAAGCTTACTTAAGTAACCTCTTCCCTTGCAACCGAGGAAGATAGTAGGGTTTTGAGGCAGGTAAGTGATGGAGAGGTAGATGAAGTGAGGCAGGTAAGAGATGGAGAGGTCACAGCTTCCCTCACATCCCTGTACCTGATGGCTGCTTACTAGGGATTCCTGTGTCTTACTCTCACAGGATGGGTATGAAGCCCCTCCATTTCTATATCACCCAGGAACCAACCAAGAAAAGGGCCTCATTGTCTACTGGCACTGTGCAGATGCAGAGCAGCAAAAAGACACTGCTCCATTGGTGTGAACCCTATGAATAGGCTGGCTGGAGAGTCCTACCCTAACATACCTAATAGTCAGGTACTCTGAGAGGCACAGATTCAAATCATTGGTCCAAATTTGGCAGGGCATGTCCTTGAATATGTGACTCCTGCCTTTCTTGTGAGGGGTCTAACCAGGAGGTCATTGGCTGGTATTGAATTATTTGTCTTGTGATGATATTTTTCCCCTAATGAAATTGACTGGATCTTATTGCAGTGAAAATCCCAGCCTAGATTTTCAAGCCCCAGGGTCTCCCAAGGTCTACCGGGGGCTGAGCTTTCTGGAAACTCTGTTCATTTCACCTAGGTGCCCAAATGGGTGCCAATTGCTTTGGAAATTCTGACACTGACTCCAAAATTCCTAGGGCAGTTGAAGCCCATTCAGTCAGATGGGAAAATGGAAAATGTTTCTTTTCTCTGGATAGTTTTAATTTCGATGCTCTGTGCTTTTGGTCTCTAGGATGAAAAGAATCAGCTGATGACGACAAATGTGTGGCTGAAACAGGTAAAGCAGGCTGTCCTGTTGTGTTAAACACTGAGTTGTTTGATTGTAGCAGGGAGCATTTATTAAACAGTCATCCCCAGGGCTGGCATCAGAACTCCATCAGGAAAATAACAGGGGGTGCCTGTACACATGTGGGGAGGCTGCTCCGAAGCACTATAAATACAGTGCATCAGAGGAAACTCGATTAATCGAGTCAGCTGAAGCATGCTAATTAGCATGCTGAAGCCAGCCTCCATGTCTCATGTATCAGTGTCCCCATGCTTCAAAATGTCAGTGGGAGTGCTTTAACTAAAGATTGTTTGATGAGCTTTTGTTAAAGCACCCCAACCACCATTTTGAAGCATGGGGATGCTGATAAACAAGACGCTGCAGGCGCTTTAATTAGAGCAGCTCTTGGAGCTGCTCTAATTAAAGCAACCTCCCCCTTACCCCAAGCACATGTAAAAACATCCAGTGTGTTTTACTTCCTGGCAGAGCCAGAGAAGGGCTAGGACCTTCTGGTCCTTTATGAAGTTGATGTTGCTCTGCTCTTACCATCACATCCTTGCATGCAATGGGAGGCTTTAGAGAAGCGTTTGAGGGGCAGAGAGTCTGAGCTAAGTGCCTTCCTCTTCCCATACTTGGTAACCAGTCCATAAATATGTCCATGTGCTCTGCCCTTCCTGTTCCCTGTTGCTCGCAATGGTCTTGTGCCAGCTGTAGCTTAGGAAAGCAGCCTCTTGTGGTATTTCTGGGAATCCAGCTAAGGCCACTTTTAGGATGTGGTGCACACTGTTGTTGCCCCGAGGGACTCTCATATCTCATTCTGAGAAGGCATCTGCATGCTTGGCAAGTGTTGTTCATGGCCTTTCTGCAGCAAAATGCAGCAAACAGAACAATAAAACCATCAGCAAGTTTACCAGATAATTAAAAGACTTGGGATTCCTGCAAATTAACCATCACTTTATAAATTGTTTGTCCTTGGTGGATATAGTCCACTGTAATTACAGACTGTTATACAAATACAAGATGGAAATTCAGTAATTATTTCCCTTCCAACATATCTTCTCTCTACCTACCAGAGAACCTTATTTTTCTCAAGGTAAGTTTTGTTAGCTTATTGGCATAGGGCCAGATCCTGCCCCATCCATTATGCACCTAAGTCAGGGGCGGGAAAACATGGCCCATGGGCCAGATCCAACCCACTAGGCTATTCTATCTGGCCTGCGGGGCCCCTAAAATTTTCATAAATTCATATTTATTTGCCCCTGGTTGCCTGTTAAAGATGACAGGAGCCAGGGACAGTAGGACCCAGGGGGAGCCGGCAGCAGGAAACTGGAACCCAGCCCCATCCCACCCCCAGGCATTTCCCTGCTTCCTGCCTATCCCCCGCTCTAGCATCATGTGCCCCCCGGTTGCATCGCTGACATGGGGAGCATCAGTATACATATACCACGTCAGTATGTGTGTGTGTGTGTGTGTGTGTGTGTGTGTGTGCGCGCGCGCATGTGCAGGCAGGGGCAGAGTCTGTATGTATTTGTCTGTGTGTGCATGTGTGTTCCATAGGGCAAGTCCCCCACACACATTCCACCATACACATGCACCCACAACCCCCTCAAACTGTCATACACACAGACCCCCACACCCACACCCCCCCTCACAGCCCAGCCACCCTCCTCCCACACACAGCCCCCCACAAACCACATACCCACCCACATCTCACATATCCACACACACATCCACATGCTCCCTCATCCCACATACCCACACACGCAGCCCCCACACACCTATACCCACCCCCTCTCAATATACAAGAGTAAGACTTAATATTAATCTATTGTGCAATCACCTCTATGTGCACTGCACAAAGACATGTAAATCAGGACAAAAATATTTTTTGAAATCAAAATTAACAAATGTTGTAGATGTTTGCTTTTTATAATATAATTTGGTATTTTTCCAGTTCCAAGATGTCAAAACCCCTTGCTAAAAGGAGTACTTCCGGGGGCAGGGGGAGGGACTTCTGGTGGCAAAGGTCAGTGGTTAGGGGGCAGGACTTCCAGTCACAAGATGACGACTAGGGAGTGGGGCACCTGTCAAGGGGTAGGGCTACCTATGTGGCCCTTGACAGCTTGCCAAACCTCGGTAAGCGGCCCTCCATCCAAAATAATTGCCCGCCCTTGACCTAAGTGGATTTAGGCACATAAATATGATTGTATTCTACTTTGCTCAGGTATCTAGAAAAAATATTAATGCAAAGAATGGCTGTGTTTTCCTCCTCCTTGCTGTTCTTTGTGATTTAGTCTTAAAGCCAAAACAATCACATTACAAAAAGAGTTTTTTTAGGGTCTGAAGCAAGGTTGAATAGGATTGCACTTAGATGCCTAATATATGGAAAAGAATTTGGTTTGTCATGACAATCACAATTAGTTACCAACCTGCTTTGTCCTATAAATGAGGGGTTGACAACATACAACCAATGGGTTGGATGTGGCCTGTGGAGTCTTGACTTCGATAATGGGTAGCTCTCCTTGCACCATGCCATAGCCAGGCAGCAAGGAGAAGTGTCCACCTGCTTCTGACCTGAGTTAGGTCATTCTGACTCCCTTCTGGGAATTGTTGCCAATCCCTACTATAAACAGCAAGTAACAATGGGGCCCAAGGTGAATTAGAGCACTTGAGGGATTGTTCTAAATTATGTCACAGGTGTCAAGTTTCCAACAGATTATCAGCCAATGGTAGAGAGATATAGTGAAGCTCAACCCAACTATTTTCCTGTTCTTTATTGCTTATAATACTAGAGGACCCATGGTCATGTCTACACTCCTTTGTGCTGAGCCCAGAACTGCATACATTCATTCCTGCCTAGCATATACTGAAACCCAGAAATGAGGCAGTGCCGCCAGCCTACCTCAGCCCTGAGCCTTTGCCCCAGTGCCACTCTCAGGGCTCCTGTCTTTGGTGTGTTTCATTGTGAGCATTCACAGTGCTAAGATGGCTTCCCTGCCTAAAATATCAGCCAGCTCCTAAACTATGCCAATAACAGGATCTTTAGGAAGGTGGGTGGACAGATCTGGCCAGTACTTTCTATGTCAGGACAAAGGATCATATGATCATACATGACCTTCTTCATCTGGCTTTGTTTTGCTGAATATGGGCTTAAATGTACTGGAAGAATTGCTAGACTATTTTGACAACCGCAAGTTACAGAGACCTGGAGTCTTATATGGTTCATCTGATTAAATGTCGCAGGGAAATTCTGTGGCTTTTAACTTCAGCCAAAAAGTCTCAGATGTCAGGATTCAGGAGACAGCAGGGAAGTTAGGCACTTTGGGATGGAACGAGCATGAGAAATGAGAGCTGGAAAAGGCCAGCAGATCATATTGTCTGTAACCTTCATCTGTATCTGACAAGGGCAAGGGTCCATGTCCAGGGGCAATGCATTTTCTCTTGGGGTTAAGTGCTGCTGTGAGGCCTCCTTTGCCAATGGCACAATGAGGCAGCTGTTAGGGAATCTTAAATACTATGCAGCAAGCAAAACACCCAATCACTGGGAAAAGGAGTCAGACTTGGCCCTCAGATAAAACAGAGGAGAACAACAGAGCTGACTTCCAAGAGTAGCTTTAACGATAATGTTATAGAGCAAGGGGCCTCCTGTAGCACATTCCCCCAAGCTGTCTGCAGCACACACCAGTATAGTCCCTGTCACCAAGGAGCTCCTGAGGAGTTTCGCATTATGAACCACTCATCCTTTAAGGCACCAATTTGTATTTTTAGCACTTGTAACATGACATGTGGCTGGTCCCCCTGCAGACACGAAGCGGTGCTTTGGCTCAGAGAGAAATCAATGCAAGGGGAGGAAACTGTAAAGCTAGAAACAGTTCATGCACTCAGGTCTTTTCAACTGCAGGGACTCCTGTCCCAAGGCCTGTCTGGAAGCAAATTATGTCTCCTGGATTCTGCCCCAAACCATGGGTGTGAATTAGAGCAGGCAAGTGGCTGCTCTAAATTGTGTAGCCAGCTAGTTGTGTTCTCAGTGGGATGATATGCCAATGGGCATGTCAACATGTGCATTAATGTGCCGTAATTACAGCGCATTAAGTTTAGTACCTGTAATAACAGATACTAATTTAATGTGCCATAAATGGCACTACTGCTTAGTAGCACTGGTGCATGTCTTTTAGGTGATGCTAATGTGCAGTAGACTAATTCTTCTGCGCATTAGCACATTAGTACGACTTTCACTGTGGCGCACTGTTGTAGTGCAGAATTAATCTATTGCACTTCTAGCATCTTGTATAGACACATCCACTGAAAATGATCATAGTGCAGACATACTCTGCCCTGGCCCCTGTTGTAAGGTGGGGGCAGATCTGTAGGTGAATCTTCACTGGAGCAGATCAGAAACCAGCCTGTAACTTGGAATACAAGTCCCTGGTCCTCTTTGCTCTGGGCAGGGGTAAGTTCTCTCCCAGGGTCCATTTGGCCACGTCCTCAGGCTGGCCAATAAGAAGGCAGAGCCAGGGCATCTCCTTTTCCTGCCCTCTTGGTCATGGGGGGGTACGGCACGTGTGGCTCTTGCCCTCTCTCACTTCAGCAGAATCCCAAGGGGGCAGTGAATACTTTGTCACTCAGTGTCTTTAAAGAAAGACAAGTCATCCTTCAAAGATATGGATGGTAGCTCCACCATTAGGTACTGGACTTTATGCAGCCACTGCAGTCAGGGTGGTAGTCTCTGGATTCTGTTATGCAGAAGGACAGATGGATGACCATAGTGGTGTCTTCTGGCCTTCACACCTGTGACTCTGTGTACTTTTACAGTCCCTACATCCTGATTGGGGCCCTGGGGTGGTATTGTAATACCACAGTGCAAATTATCATTATCTAGCAACAGTGACAATGATAATACTGATGGGAAATAGAAGGCGGAATTGGCCATGGAGCAGTGGGCCCCCCCCTGCATCAGTAGTGGCACCTTCAGCTCTGAGTCCTCATTGACATAGTGTCGGACTAGAGAAAGTGCATGTGACCAGAAATCATTCTGCATTTCCTGCTGCATTGGTATGATCCAGGAAAGCAACATCCTTGCTGTGACAGTTTCACTCCAAACTCTGCCGAGTCATAGTCTGAGGCCAAAAAAGTATTGCCTTTTGGGACATGTTTAACCAATCAGGAGGTACCTGGGAAAGTGTTTCTGGGGAAAAAACAGGGTTATTTAAGCCCCTGTCTCTGGAGCTTTTATGGCAAGCTGCTGTTATTATGAATAGTATTGATTTGAGTTTACATCTTTCCTCTCTTTGCATTCCCACGGGGCACCCTAAAATCCTATAAATAATGAATACAGCAGGAGAACTGCTTTTCTCTGTGAACATCATGTAAATCTCCAGGTCCCCAGATTGTGCACTGAGCTCACTGCAGCTAACAAATCAAACAAGGGAAAAGGAAGGAGAGTGGAAAATCTGAGTGTTATGAGTTTGTCCCGATTTACTCCGAAGGCTCCATAAACTCATTTGTGTCACATCAACTACTGTGACACTTGTATCGTCAAGGGGATATCCATAGCCATAATTAATCATTAAGATTAATCATCATTTTTTATTATATTATGGGACACGCTAGGAATGATTGATGATAATGATGATGATGATGACGATGACGACACTGATGATTGCTACTTTTTATGTTGAAGAATCACTGTTTAGGTGGCAAATTCAAGTGCACAGAAGTTAGACATTATCAGCTTTTTGGTTGCCCGGGCAGTCTTGCACCTTTGCTTGTCTCTCCTGTACACTGATGGATGCAGGCATCCTTTAAAAAAGCTTATATATGATCATGTAATTAAAGACTGTATTATTATGCCCAGACCCAAAGAGGGAAAATTCACATGACATAGACAACTAGGAAGCTGGCATTTCCAAACTTTGGAGTGAATGACTTTGCAACCTAAAAATTGCTCTTTCAGGATAGGCTGTCATGCATAATTTGCTAGTTCATTATTATTATTACTATTGACAAAGATGAAGCTACACTCTATTGCATGTCTGCAATAATCTGAAACTGGTAACGTCAGCAGAGGTCAAAATCTGCATCTTTAGCTCTGTCCTATAGACTTTTCGTCTTTCAAGAACAGGACCAGCCACATTAGATAGTAGCAAAGGAATGCTGCAGTCTTAGAAGAGATTTTATGCACTGGCAGTGCAAGGTTGATGAAGGTTGGGTCTGGGACCCTTGGTAGATGTTATATTTATCTTGTGATTAGTGTGTTAATTATAACATCCCGCACATTCAAGGAATTTATCGCCCAATAATAAGCTGCAAAAATGGTGATCTAGCAACAAAGACATGACTTGAAAAATGTAAAATATCTTTGCTGCTCATTTGTATTGTGTTTTAATATGCATGCGTAGTATGTTACATATAGAATGATAGTGTTGGCTAGGTCCTCCAGCATCCCAAGGTGAACTTCTCTCTCTTTTTCTGCTCCTTCCTGCAAGAGGACTCTCTGGAGCTCATGCTGAACTTTGCTGCCTCAGGGTGCTTCATCAGATGTCATGTCTCACTTCCCCTCCTCCCTTTTCCCAACCAGTCTTCAAGGCCACTTCTTAAGAGTCCATTAGCACCTTTTCTCTGTAAGAGACAGAGTGTAAACAAACACTCAACATGACATGATTTACTTGCATATAATAGGAGTCTGGGTGGGGGTGGGGGGATTTGTTTGGAAAGCTGGGGTGAGGGAGACAGGGAAGACAAGATGGGGAGAAAGGAAAATCATAAAATATTCTGGGAGAGTTTGAGGCTCCCCACTTCTGCCCCACAAGAGTTGGGTGAGCAGTTCCTTCAATCAGGGGAGCTCATCTCAGCACTCACTTCTCATTAGCAACACAGTTGAAGCTGGGGAGGTGTTCTTCAGTTGAAGCTTAGCTGTTCTTCAGCTCCCCTTGCTTAGGGTTACCACATTTATGGGTCCAAAAAAGAGGATGCCTGTCATGCTTGGGGGTGGGGGGGGACAGGACACATGCCGGTGCCCTGCCCCTGCCCATTCTGTTGCCCCTCACTGCCAAGCCACAGCCCTGCCTAGCCCTGCTGCTGCCCCTCTCTCCCACTCCACACACCAGCCCTGCCAGTGCCCCTCACTCCCAAACTGTAGTACCCTGCCCCCCTGGGCCATGATGGTGCCCCTCACTTCTGACTCACAGGCCCCCCACCCCAGTCCCTGCTGGTGCCTCTCAGTCCAGACCCACAGCCTGGTGCTGCCAGTGCCCCCTGTACTCCCAACCCACAGCTGACCCCTGACCCTCCCCCCCGGTGCCCCTCACTCCCAACCCACAGCACCCTGCCCCCAGCTCTGCCGGAGATGCCCCAGCTCTCCCTGTCCGGACCAGGCCAGAATGTGGTGGCTCCAATTCATGCAGGAGGTAGCGGAGTATGTCAGGGCCCAGCAAGGGCTGGTGGGAAGAGGAGAGGAGGCTTGTGCCCCCCCGCCCTGGGATGGAGCTGCTGTGCTGGGTCAGCCAGCCTGGCCATGGGTCCCCTCCTTCCTCCCCTCCCCCCGGGCAGCATCTCTTGGCCACTCAGCCCCTGCAAACACAGAGCACAGGCACTGGCCCCTGTACTGCGTACTGGCCACAGAGGTTCCTGCTGCCCTCAGAGGACCCTCAGCAGCCCCCTTCCCCCACTGGAGGAGCAGGCAGCCCTTCCATCCCACTCCCCCTGCCCTATCGCAGCCCCATCCCCCAATCCCCCTGCCCTGACCAAATGTCCAGGATTTAGCTTGGGAGCAGGGGGAGGGCAATTGGAGGCAGCAGGGAGCACCACATGGGTCTGCAGGTGCCTTTGCAACTGCAGGCAGGTAGGTCTGTGCTCTCTGCGGCCTCCAATAGCCCTCCCCCTGCTCCCGCCAGAGGAGGAAAGCAAAATCCCAGACATTTGGGCAGATTTAAAAAACCTGCCTGGACAGAAATGAGAGGGCTCAAAAAGAGGACATGTCTGGGAAAACCCGGATGTATGGTAACCCTACCCTTGCTAGTGAGTTCTGGCAGAACCAAAAAGTTCCCAAGGCACTTTTCCCCTCTCTGGCTAGTTTGTCCGGTGACTGAAACAGGTCACATGGTGTGAATGACATTGAGCATTATTATCTGTTGCTTGATGGAAATAACATCTGCCAGGGCCCAAGAAATTTTATGAGTGAAGCCTGGCTCAACACTTCATCATCAGCTGTGGGATCTGAGGGAGCTCCTGCCCCTTGTGATGTCCTTGGGGACGAGGGGAATGGTGGGTTCATAGGGGAGGTCCAGGGAGACACGTAGGAGGAGCTCAGCTTGGTGCTCTTTCTTGCTCCTGCAGGATGTGGAAGACCTCCTGCTCTGTCTGGTGCTCTACAGGGGGTTGGGATGATGGGATACTTGTCCTGGGGTGGAGTAGAGCAGGAGTCCTGGGGAGAAGCCCAGTTCTCTCTACACTGTAGTGCTCTGGTAGCCCATAGGCGTGCAGCATCTACTGCTACTGCTGATGTGTTGGTGGTGGCATGAGCCCAGCCTCAGAATGGTCAGTGACCTTGGTAGGCTGCCCAAATTTTTCTGTGGAAAGCAACGGAGAAATGGAAAAGATGGCCTTTAAATGCACTGTAGCTTAGTCAGATCTGGATGGAATTTCACTGGACAAAAAAGAAAGGCATCTCTCTACCTTGAGAGGGTTTCTCCTGTAGGATATCATAAGCAAATATTCATAGAAGCACAAATAACTTCAAAGAATCCTTAATAATGGAAAACGGTATGTGAGCTAACTACCAGCATGACTACTAGCATTTATGTCATGATAGCGTTGCTGTGTTATTAACATTGTTGCTGTGCTGGGCCTAACAGAATCAATGCAAATAGCCATGTGCTTGTGTATTAAAAACTGTTGGAGGCAGACAAATGACCTGTTTATCTGCATGAGTTTGTAAGGGTGAGAGGAAAGAGGACATTGTTGGCTCGTTCCAGGAGTGGGTAGACCACAAGCTGTGCTGGAACCCCCAGGACTACGGTGGGATCACAGCGATCCGCGTTCCCTCAGAATCGCTCTGGCTCCCAGACATTGTTTTATTTGAGAAGTGAGTATGAGGCTCTTCCCTTTCCCCTGTGCTGCTCCTTCTTTGAGATATATGATGTCCCTTTAGACTCATGAGCAAATGAATCATGTTCCTCCTATGTTAGCCACAACTCCAACCATGACAGCAAGTACTGTGTTGATGCTTTGAGCTGAGCAGTTGCAGAGCTGGATGGGGAACGGGCTCCCCAGCCCCTGCCAGCAGGGAGCTCCCAGTGCCAGCTCTGCACTGCGGGGCCAGTGCTGGGAGACCCTTATCTCCCAGCACCAGCTCCGTGACTGCAGGGCTGGCACTGGGAGATCCTTCTCTCCCAGTGCTAGCTCTGTGACTGTGGGGCCAGCATTGAGAGACCCTTATCTCCCAGTGCCAGCCCTGCAACTGCAGAGCTTACACTGGGAGATAAGGGTTTCTCAGCCCCCTGCTTACTGATCACGATGGCAGAGCAGGGGCTGGGAGATAAAGATTTCCCAGGCTCCCCCCTGCTCCGCAATTGTGATCTGGGAACAGGGGGCTTGGAGGTTCCTTCTGCTGGGGCAGGGGGAAAATAGTCCCTGCCTGGGCTCCTATGGCAGAGCCCACCCTGGCAGCAAGCAGCTCCCAGGGGCAGGGAGCAATCTCCCAGCCCCTGGTGGACAGCTGACTGGGAGCAGATTTGCTCCTCGTCAGTCATCTACACAAGCGCTACTGTGCTGTTACTAATCAAAAGTAAATTTGCTACTTGCATTTTCAGGTAGCAACTTTACTTGTGATTAATGAGGTTTACTGCATAGTAAGCCTGTGCAAGTGTAGACACACATGCTTCACAGTGAAGTATGCTTGTATAGATGCACCCTCTGACTTCTAGCCACCACAGCACAGCTCAGGTATTATCCAGTCCTTTCTCAGCACTCCTGAAACCAGCTCTCTGGGCAGCAGCATATGGGGCTAGAGGACATATTGCTTAGTGTGGTCCTGCTGGTCTGGCAGGAGGGGCCTTGAGTTCTACCTGGGTCTTCTCCCAGTGAGGCAGAAACTTCTCCCTGTACTCTATTTTTTCTAGTTACCATTTTTGCAGTTTAGCTTCAAAAGAGGGAGCAAATAATGCCTGCCTGTGATGTGGTGGTTAGAGTGTTGTGCTGGTAAGATTGTGATTCCCCACATTCATATCTTCTCTGGGTGAGGAGACCTAGAACTGGACTTCCATATTTCCAGGCGAGTGTGTTAGCTACTGAACTGTGGGCATAAAAGTAGGGGAGGGATAGGCAGACACAGAGTCCTTATCTGTTCCTGAGACTAATTCCAGGAGGTATGGTTTTTAGCCAACTCCATGTGTTTTCCTAACCAAGAACCATTTTTAAGTAGCTGAGAAAAGGAAAGCAGTTTGCTAGGAACACAGTTAGGTTTCTTCCATGAGTTGTGGCTGACATGCAACCCTGGAATTTGTACAGAGGAAATCTCCAGAACAGGGAGTGGTTCATGAGGGGGAAGGAAGGGGAGAGGGATTAGCATATAAATTAGACTTGATGCAGGCAGAGAGCAGCCTGTGTGGTTATACCCTGTGAGCCACCTCCACCCTGCAGAGGACCTGAGTAATGCCTGATGCACTAGCTCAGGTCCTGATCCAACAAAGCACTCAGACATGGACTCAACTCTATTACTCTTTATGGCACACATAAGAAGTACACCTACATTACAAGATCACTGAAAGTTCAAAGCCAGGTACTCAAAATCAGAAGACAGAATTAAATTTGCCCTTGGGAGCCTTAGAGTCCATTTCTGATTCTGGAGAGGGAGGGATTCTACACGCCCAGCCAGTGGTGTACTGATGGGGGCCTGGGTGGGGGGCGCTGGTCGGCCCCACCAGGGTGTACTTGGTCTCAGTTCTGCCGCCAGCACTTCTGGTTCAGCCACTGGCATTTCTGGGCTCGGCGATCAGCTGCTGGAGGACCTCCCCCAACTCGGCGATTGGGTGGGGGGAGTGTGGGGGGGTGCAAATGCAAGTATTGGTCCCTGTGCACCGGAGACTCATGGTATTCCACTGCCCCCAGCCACTCCCCTGTCTTGACTGTCCTCCCAACCCTGGCTTCTTTTCCTAGTTTTGTCTAGCTTTTCCAACTTTTTCATCCTATTTCTTTCTACTTATCCATCCCAAGCCCAGTCTCCTTGTCCAGTTGGAATCCATATCTCCTCTGGGTTCACTTGAAGAGTCTCCATTTCTTCCTTCCTTGGCTGAACTACAGCCCTCCCCTCTACCCCACATCCCAGGTGCCTCATCCTAGGATCCTTTCCTAGAAAGCCCCTCTCTTCCTCACAAGCCCATCCAATCTTGTCTTGATTTCCTTGCTCAGTTTAGAATCATAGAATCATAGAAAATTAGGGTTTGAAGGGACCTCAGGACAGCATCAAGTCCAAATCCCTACTCAAAGCAGGAGCATCCCCAATTATATCATCCCTGCCAAGGCTTTGTCTACTTGGGGTGTAAAACCATCTGAGGATGGAAATTCCACAACCTCTCTGGGCAGCCTGTTCCAGTGCTTTACTACCCTCCTAGCGAGAAAGTTTTTCCTAATATCTAACCTAAACTTTCCATGTTGCAACTTGAGACCATTGCTCCTTGTCATATTATCTGCCACCACTGAGAGCAGTCTAGCTCCATCCTCTTTGAAACCACCCTTCAGGTAATTGAAGGCTGCTTTCAAATCCCTCCTCATTCTTCTCTTCTCCAGACTAAGTAAGCCCGGTTCCCTTAGCCTGTCCTCAGAAGTCATGCGCCCCAGTCCCCTTACCATTTTCATTGCCCTCTGCTGGCCTCTTTCCAATTTGTCCACATCCTTTCTGTAGTCAGGGCCCAAAACTGGACACAGTACTCTAAACGTGGCCTCACCAGTGCAGAATAGAGGTGAAGAACCAATTCCCTCAGTTTCCTGGCAACACTCCTATTAATGCAGCCCAGTATGCCATTAGCCTTCTTTACAAGAAGGGCACACTGTTGGCTTGAATTCAGCTTATTGTCCACTGTAACCCCCAGGCCCCTTTCTGCAGAGCTGTTGCTTAGCCAGTCAGTCTCCACTCTGTACCAGTGCATGGGACTGTTCTGTGCTATGTGCAGGACTTTGCATGTTTCCTTATTGAACTCCATGAGATTTCTTTTGGTCCAATCCTCCAATCTGTCTAGGTCTCTCTGAATCCTAGCCCTACCCTCCAGTATACCTACTACACCCCACAGTTTGGCGTGATCTGCAAACTTGCTGAGGATGCACTGTATCCCATCTTCCACATATTTGATAAACATATTGAACAAAACTGGCCCCAGAACCTACTCCTGGGGCACTCCACTTGACATTGGCTACCAACTAGACATCAAACCATTGATCACTACCTTTGAGCTCAACAATGCAGGCAGTTTTCTATCCACCTTGCAGTCCATTCATCCAACCTGTACTCCCTTAGCTTGCTTGTGAGAATGTTGTTGGAAACCATATCAAAAGCCTCACTAAAGTCAAAGTATATCACATCCACTGCTCTCCTTACATCCACAGAGCCAGTTATCTTATCATAGAAAGCAATCAGGTTGGTCAGGCATGACTTGCCCTTGGTGAATCCATGCTGACTGTCCCCAATCACCTTCTCCAAGTGCTTGGAAATGGAGCCTATTTCTTTCTCCCACCAGTCCCTATCCCTCTGCTCACACTACCATCACCCACTCTGCATTTCCAACTCTTGTTCTCAGTACTGTTAAGGCAGGTTGCTTTCAGCTTTATGCTTCCAGTTGCGGGAACACAGGGAACACAGGGAACACAGGAGAGAGGCTGTTGCCTTCCTTTGTAAAGTGTGTTGAGATCTACTGATGAGAAGAGCAAGGCAGGAAGATGACAAATCCCCAGCAGCAAACAGGAGCAGTTACATGGAAAATCTCACTTGGCTCCTGTAGCTTGGGGATAGAGCATGCCAATGTCATGGAGACTCTTTGGCAAAAGTGCCTGTCCAATGCGAACATGTCTCCTGTGATCATGTGCAATATGAACATTTTCAAAAGCTTCTCTCTCAACCAGTTCTGGCTTGCTTGAAAAGGTGACCTACTGCACTGCCCAATTTCATGTCCTTGCTCCAAACGAAACAAGTGCATCTCAGCCAAACACTTGTAAAAGTTATTTAAGCACAGAAAAAACAACATATATTTCCTTGAATCTCTTTCTTGAAAGCAGTCCAGCAAAAAGCAACCAAAAATGATTAGCAATCTTAGCAACAGGATATGACCTTTTAGGAAAGATTGGAAAAACTGTGATTGTTTAGCATGTGGGAGAGAAGACTGAAAGCGGATTTGATAAAAGTCCCTGAGAACAGGATCTTGTAATGGGAAACATCAGGTAACCTTACTAATAGGCTGTGCTACCATTTCTGAGGTGTTATAAACACCCCAACCAGGCTCAGAGTCCTGCTGTACTAGGTGCCCTATGAATACATGGTAAAAGACAGTCCTTGCTGCAAAGAGCTTGCCATCTAAGCAAATGAGGCAGACCAAGCCAAGAAGACAACACAATTCCCGAGGGGTGAGGGAAGTCACAGACTCCCAGTTGCCTACACTACCCAGTAGGTAACACTACTTCTTAGCTTCAAGCACTGGAGTAGGTCCTATAACTAGGGACCAACTAAAATCATGATTTCATGATTTTTGTGGAAACCACAATTTTAGGCAGGCCTCACAAAAAAGCATGGGCTCCCTGAAAATTAAAATAAAAAAACTTACTGAAAAGAAAATGCTGGTTCCTTCTAGGTAGGCAGCAGTCCTTGTGTCTGCTGTGGCCCATTGGGGGGGGAGGGGAGGGAAGGGAGAAGGGGGGCTGCTAGCACAGCAAGATGACTGCCGCCCCTGCCCCTCACTACAAGGGATGTCCATCATATGGCCCTGTCCCTTGCCGCCAATCATGGGGAGGGGTGGGGCTTCATGATGGACAGTCCTCACTGCCACTGATTAGCAATGAGGGGCAGGGCCATGGGGGCCTCTTGGTGAATCAGAGGCATGGGGGGCCCCCACCACGCTCTGCCCATGACAATGACTGCCAGCTCCGTGGTCTGTCTGGGAAACTGACGGGCAGCCGCCTCTATTTTGGTAGACCCCTACCTATAACCACTGGACTGTTGTGCACACTTGTGACTCACAGGGCAGGGGAGCTAAGCAGCCTGGAGGTTGGGGTCTACAAAACAAGGGAAAGATGGGTGCTGGATAAATCCAATCACCCCATAAGACCAATCATCTGGGGTATTCTGAATTGAGGGATAAAGTTGCTGGAATCTTTTGTACCCCCTTGTCTGATAATATCACTGCTGTTAAACCTTAAAGCTTTCAAATCTTCCAAAATAAAGGAGGAGAAAGCAGAATGACATTTGGAAAACTCAAGTAGTGCAGTCAAGCCTAATGAAATTCTGAAATAGTTTATTTCCCTTTCCTCAGTGCTGACGGACGGTTTGAAGGCTCCCTGATGACCAAAGTCATTGTGAAATTCAATGGAGTAGTTACCTGGACTCCACCAGCCAGTTACAAGAGTTCCTGCACTATGGACGTTACATTTTTCCCATTTGATAGACAGAATTGCTCCATGAAATTTGGATCTTGGACATATGATGGCAGCATGGTGGACTTGATCCTAGTAGATGAAAATGTAGACAGGAAAGACTTCTTTGATAACGGAGAGTGGGAAATCCTAAATGCGAAAGGCATGAAAGGCAACAGGAAGGACGGGTTATATTCTTATCCATTCATCGCTTATTCCTTTGTTTTAAGACGCCTCCCCCTGTTTTATACTCTTTTCCTAATTGTCCCATGCCTTGGATTATCTTTTCTGACTGTGCTAGTGTTTTATTTACCTTCTGATGAAGGAGAAAAACTTTCATTATCTACATCGGTTTTAGTCTCGCTTACTGTTTTTCTTTTAGTGATTGAAGAAATAATCCCGTCTTCTTCCAAAGTTATCCCTCTGATTGGTGAATATCTATTATTCATTATGATTTTTGTAACCCTGTCCATTATTGTGACAGTTTTTGTTATTAATGTGCACCACCGGTCCTCAGCAACGTACCATCCAATGGCTCCCTGGGTTAAGAGACTCTTTCTTCAGAAACTGCCTAGGCTGTTGTGCATGAAGGGACATGTAGACCGCTATTCCTTCTCTGATGCTACAGGAACTGCCCCAGTGCTAAAATCAAAGTTCTCAGGAAAACACAAGCACAAACAAATAAAGGATGGAGAAAAAATTGTGATTGCTTTTTTGGAAAAGGCTACTGATTCCATCAAGTATATCTCTGGGCATGTTAAGAAGGAGCATTTCATCAGACAGGTATGTGAACATGTAAAGGGCATGTGTTTGTTCTAGCAGAAGAACATGAATACTTGTTTCCATCTATAGTATATTTCAGTGCATGCCTTTCTCTAACACATACGGGTAGGTTTGTAGTAACTTAAAGGCTTCCTCGTTGTCTTACATTAGTGCATGACAGATTCAAATAAAGTGTATTTTCCTCTCCAAACTTCCTTCCATCCTTCACACTCCTACCCAGCTGTCTGTTTTACATTTTTTTTAAAAAGTACCAGTTATGGTGCTCAAAATGTGAACTGATACAAAGATAACATTTTATGGGATGATGCTTACAGGCAAATTATGAAAAAGGAATGAGGGATTTTATTGGCACCATGCTAACAAAGGAGTGCTGTTTGTCATAATTACTTTAGTAACAAATAATTAATTTTAATTAATCAATAAATATTAGAAATAAAAGTCATTAACTTATTTTTCTTCCGCTACTTCTTTTTATCCAGGTAGTCCAAGACTGGAAATTTGTAGCTCAAGTCCTTGATCGGATCTTCCTGTGGCTATTTTTGGTGGTATCAGTGACAGGTTCTGTTCTAATCTTTACCCCTGCTTTGTGGATGTGGTTAAACAGCAGTTTGTAGAAAAAAAAAAAAGGATTGGTGTAGGCCATGTTTTAAACATAGTTTCACCTTCAGACCTCCATTCAGAAGTGCAGAGCAAATGAAGGAGGCAGTGAGAATACTTCACCTCCTGGTCTCAGTAAATGATGTTAAGGCTGATTATGTCAATGGAACTTGTCATTCAAACAGGGCTTCACATCCTTAAGTTGCTGTAGAGTTTGAGGGCTCCATTGTGTTAACCTGAGGATGGTGAGGATTTACTCACCCACTGAAATCCATGAGACTACACGGTGTGCAAAGCTTCATCACTCAGTTCACAATTAATTAATCCCATTAAGCCTGATTATATCAAAATATGATTCTCTGAGTTTTTAAATAAGACTATTTCTTTTGGATGCAAATATTCTATTAAAATGTGGAATCCTCATGTATTTAATGTGTTACATTCAAGGAGAAGTTAAATAGTATATGAATATTATATAGGCGCGGATACACTGAGCTATCCAGTATACTTTATCTTTAAGCATATGCATTTTCTAACCTATCTATGTTGTGTAAGCAGCAGTTACATGTTATGTGTTTGTCCATAAGAGAAATATAAACACACGTGAAGCTTTTAAAAGTGCTTAGTTTTGGCTTCACTCAATTTCTACTGAAGTCAACACAATGTGCATCTTAGCTGGTCTGTAGGAATAAAAACTTTCTCTCCTTTCAGAGGGGAGATGGGGCACATTTCAATGCAGCCAGGCTATCTGCATATACTGCTCTCTGTTTCCCACATTGATAAATCAGGAAAAACAGTAGGCTTGTCTGGTTAGCCGGAATAATTTGTATATATGTTAAATGTTCCAACAGGTGCCCAAAGTTATACTACCTTGAGTTTTCACTACACTGTCTTTACAAATTGTGATACATCTTCTGTGTAATTGCAGGTACATGGAAGGGGACAAATGGGAAAATATGGGGTGGCTATCTGAAGGAAACGTGGGTCCGTCCTAGCCTGTCATAGATTGAGATTGGATAGCTACACCCAAGTTGAACGGAAATTCATTCTGAGCCCTTTTTTTTCTAGGCTTCTAGTGCAACAACAACTCTAGTCAAACATCCTAAACAACATGGGATAGTTGTTAGGAACTAGTACAGGGGTGGGCCCCAAAATAAAACCTGCAGGCTAGATCTGGCCCACCAGGCCATTCTATCCAGCTGGCAGGGCCCCTAAAAATTTAGAAAATTAATATTTATCTGCTCCTGGCTGCCTGTCAAAGATGACAGGAGCCAGGGGCAGTCTGACCCAGGGGAAGCCATCAGCAGGATCCAGCAAGGCCTGCCCACCCCTGCTCCCCCAACCAGAAGCCTCTACATAGTAGAGGACTGTTTCCGCCTCCCTGCACCAGAGAGGGAAATTCAGATAGAAGGGCGGGGGTGGAGGGTGAGGAGGCAGGGAAGGACTGCGGGTGATCACCCCAGTCCTCAGGGCTGGGCCAGCTCCTGCTGACTCCTGTGGTTGCAGCCATGCAGCTGGAAACCATGTGGTGCCTGAGTGCCTCAGCAGTAGGCAGGGAAGTGGGGAAAGTGGCAGTGGGGGGTGTGGAGAGTGGGAGCAAGTGGGAGTGCAGTGATAGCTGGTCAGAAGCACGGGGCCACTGATGTCTTGGGGCCAGCGCTGGCAGTGCCCAGAGCAGGGCAGTAGGAGCACAGGGCATGGGTGGGCAGGGGTCTATGGAGCTGGGCTGGGCTGCACCAGCAGGGAGAGAGGGGACCTGGCTCAGCTCCACAGAGCCCCTGCCAGCCAGGACCACGCACTCCTGCTGCCCAACTCTGGGCCCTGCTGGCACTGGTCCCGGGACACCAGAGTGGGCCACTCCCACCTAGCTGTCGCTGCGCTCCCATGCGCCCACTCACTCCCACTTTCCCCCTCCTGCCACTGCTTTTAGGACTTCCCTGCCCACCCGCTGGCTGCTTCTGCACCATGCTGCTCCTGGCTGAAAGTCTAGACCATGGGAGCCCAAGGCCTGTGCTGGTACCCTGGGTCCAGGAGCAGGAGGGGTGTGTGTGTGTGCAGGGAGGGAAGGACAGAGTGCGTGTGTGTGTGTGTGTGTGTGTGTGTGTGTGTGTGTGTGTTCATAGGGTGAGTCCCACAACCATACCCAACCATACATATGCACCCACACCCTCTCTTGCACTGCCATACACACAGATCCCACACCCACATCCCCTCACACTCTGCGTCCATCCTTCCTCCACACACAACCCCTCACAAACCCTATACCCACCCACTCCCCACATATCTGCACCCGCACGCTCTCACCCTCCACCCCCACACCTATCCAACCCAGGCAAACCCCCCATACACACCCACACCCACATCTCCCCACAAACCCTATGCCCATAACACACCCCACATATCCACACACACACTCACATGCTCCCTAACCCCACACCCCCACACCTATCGACCCTGCCCACAAACCTCCCCCACACACCCACACCCTCCTCCACACCCCACATACCCACACATCCACAGCCACCAAAAAACCTATACCCACCCCTGATGTCCCCACCCCTCCACAATATACAAGAGTAAGACTTCATTTTAAGCTATTAGATACAATCACCTCTATGTACACTACACAAGCACATGTAAACCAGGGCAAAAATATTTGTTGAAATCAAATTAATGAACGTAGTAGATGTTTGGGTTTTAGAATATAATTTTGTATTTTTCTGGTTCTGAGATGGCAGAAATCCTTTGCTGAAAGGAATATGTCCAGGGGCAAGGGGAGGAACTTCTGGTGGCAAAGGTCAGGGGTTAGGGGGCAGGACTTCTAGTCACAAGATGGCTATTAGGGGGTGGGGCACCTGTCAAGGGGTAGGACTACCCATGCGGCCCTTGACAGCTTGCCAAAACTTGGTAAGCAGCCCTCCATCCAAAATAATTGCCTGCCCTGAACTAGTAGCATGTTGCCTGGTCTGCTCATATAGGAACTGGTGACAGCCTGGAACAATTTTGCATCCAAGGTAAATTCCTTGGACACATTTAAATGAGTCAGGGTAGGGGCTGTGAAGAATTTGAAGGTGAGACTTAGGTTGGGGCTTCTGCTGGGATTAGGGCATTGATTTAGTAGAGTGTTGGTTAAGACAACACTGTGTGTGCTTACAAGAGGAAGAGGTAATTGTAGTCAGGACCCTTGAATGCTAACATTTCTAAAGTCTAGGAATGACTGAGTTTCTAGGTGAAGGCTCACACCATTCATTTTATACAGAGTCCCTGGCCTTTACTCCTATTGGTTTTGGGTAAAACAATCCTGGGTCTCAATGGGAACAGAGTTAAGTCAAATTTGAATTCTTTTAACAATCCCACTTTTACATCTTTAGGTTGAAATTTTCAAAGCTCTCTAAATTTGGCCCCCAAAACTTCTGACTAGCCATGAAAATCTAAGTATAACAGTAAAAAGTTAGGAAGATTTTAAAATACCTTAGTACATTTGCATGTTTCCATTGTATGTATACACCAGACTGATCAGTCACAATCCTGTTTTTGTCAACACAGAACATTCTGTTTACTTGTATGAACACTACAAATAAAGCTATACTGAGCAAATCATTTTCTGGATTGAAACAGTGTATTGCTGATAAATAAACCAGAGAAGAAGCTCCAAGTGGGTTTCTCATGGAGGAAGAAGCACAAAGATTGCTGCTTTCGCCTATAGGCAGAGCAGGATGTAAAATAAGCTGGGGTAAATTTGCATTGAGGTACTGGCTTCATTGGTGCTGTACTGATTTATATGACCTTCAGCCCTTTTTAGAGATGTCTTCCTTAAGGCATGAAAGTGATGAGAACTTTCCCTCAATGATTCTTACCCCACTTGACTATTTTCCCTAATTAGGGATTTAAGGGCCTAACTTAAGAGCCTCATTATATGGGAATGCGTAGAAGCATACAGATTGTAGGATCAAATCATATAGGTTTTCTTTTAAGGGTCCAGCTAACAGGATATAGTTGTGAGCTCTTCCTGAGCGTGATGGAGCAGGCTGGCATGGGTCAACATCTCACATTAGTAACCCTATTGTAAGTACCTGATTGTTGTTTATAACCATTCACTGATTAGAGCAAGTGCTATGTAGTAAGCAGTTGATTAGTGAGAAATATAGTTGAAGTAACTATGTAAATATTCCTTGTCCTTAGGAGGGTTAAAGAATTTTCAGATGGAGTATTGATGTGGTCCATTGAATTTCCAACATCACCAAAATATATTTCAGTGTATTTTTGATGGGGGGAGAACGACCTATTTTTTCAGTGTCCCCCCCCTAGTTAGGTCATATGGCTGGATGTCCTTATCTAAAGAAGTAGATTCATTTTTCTGGAAGAGACTGAAGATAAGGTGCTGTACTTAACAGTGTATTTTCACTTACTTGATGCCTGTTTGTTTGATGCCAGGTTTAACACTGCTCCAGTGGGGTGACCCTCTTGTTACAAATGACAGAATACAGTCCTGACTAGAAGCTTCAGGTATGCTGATGGCAAGTAGGACCAACCTCACTTTGTAAAATTTCAGCTGCTTGCCCAACAAATGTGTTTCACATCCCTTAGTTCCCCTGTGGGAACAGACACCTGCTTGTGCACCAGTGCACTCCTATCTCATCCAGCTCGTGTTATGTGATATTATAACCAGTTCCTGCAATGCTTTTCAAGCCATAGTCTGCTGTAGGTGTTCCCTCTTCCCCATAGATAGTGGCAATTCAGCTATCTAGTGTTAGAGTTTTGACCTTTGTGTCCTTTGTACCAGTACGGTCACCGTCTCTCCTGTGAATGCTTCAGTACAACATTGCCATGTTGCAAGGGAAGTTGATCGGACTTTCAGTCTTATCTGCCACCCATCCTTGGTGTCTTGACTCTAAGGTGCTATGTTAGGCCATATCTGATGCAGCTTCCATATCTAACACTGTCCAAATTGGTTTTCCTTTCAGTACTAGTTTACACGGATGCCCTGATTGCGAGGCCTATCCTTGTAAAGTGATAGCTGTCTCGGACGGCCAGAGCCGACTCGAGTTGCGTTAGAAATTGGTCGTACTTTAGGGCGGGCTGGTGAATGGAGAGGCAGACACAACTTATCAGTTGCAAAAACTTTACTCACGCCGCTTGCAATCACGACGCAGGTGGTCCGGTCGTCTGAACAACCATACGAGTTGTTCCAGCTGGCGGGGCCCAAGCCAGTTAATCCATCCGCAATTTGAAGCCGGCGGGGAAAGGGGTACGTCTGGGATTGTGCTCGGCGACGGGAAGAAAGATCAATAGGTGATCAGTCTATTGATCGGCAGCCGCAAGTCAGATAACTTCAGAGGCACTCTGCAGCGTGCTCAAAGCTCTTCGACTTGGGTGGAAGTCGTGCGGAATTTTAAACGGCTAGCGAGCCAATTACTAGCCGCCACGTGTGAATAATTTAGCACTGGCCAATAGCGGGACACAATTTTGCATTCGAATAGCGGGAACTCTTTGCACCGTGCATTTCTGTGCTGCAAAGAAGAAATGCATCCTGCAAAGGAAACTGCAAATTGGCGGGAACTCTCTCCTACACGCGGGTTCTCAATTGCAGCAGAACACTCTGCCGTGCAAAGGAGCTCTCATGTGGCCAGGAAATTCCTTAGTGCCGAGGCACCAAAATCACTGGGTCGTGACAATAGCTACTTCCCAAGAGCTTTCTTTAGCACTCCTCAATTTGATGGGAGTTTTGGGAACTCAGAATATCACAGGACTGGGCATATAGGGTGGCTAAGTGTCTATTTTTGGATGTCTATAGGATATTTTTGGCATTTATGCATCCAGAGGAACTGTTTCTGGATACATAGCTGTACACATATACATGACTACAGACATATCTAGACTGGCAGCAATCAAGCAAATGAGACCTCCTATCTTTCTTCTAGGTAGCTCAGTGGCTAGGGCATCCCCCTGGAAAGCTGTAAGCCCTGGGCCTCCCCTCAGCCAGAGGGGTTTGAATGTAGGGTTTGTCTGATTTCCCAGAAAAGCACCCTAATCACCACATCACAGGTCAGCCATTAACCAGTCCCTTCTCCAGCATGCCTTTGGAAGTTGGCCACTTGGGAAAGTGTGAAAGGAGGGTCTGGGGGCCCAGGAGGAAGGGCGCAAGCCAGAGGGTTTGTGACTCAGTGAAGTGGTAATTAGTCTGGAAGAAAGGGAGCCCTGGGTTTTAGCTGGGCCCTTGCTTCTTCACTGCTTTCCATCCTTTTTTTGAAGGATTACATCAGTGACTCTGCTTCCAAAGGAGTGCCGGAGGAGGCAGAGAGTAATGCCTGACTTGTGCTAGGATGCTTAGAGTACTGTGCTGGGAAACAAAAGGAGCTTTTGTTCAAACTTCCTCTGGGTAAGGGAAGGCTAGGGACTCCAGCATCCCAGGTGAGTGTTTTAGTCATGGAGCTACAGAGAAAAAATGGGAACACACACACACCTTTTCTTCTCCAAAGGCTAAGTCTACTAGTCATGGCATCTGGTTGACTCCATTCTCAGGTATCTGAGTCCACATCACATCCACAAAGGACTTGCAGATGGCCATTATTGCACATGTTCCATTGGAGCAACTATGTAGTCCTGCCTAGTCATCCAGGTGTGCAGGGCTACCAATCCAGGAATAGAATTCCCTTGGGTGTGTAAGTGCCAAACCTGCTTGGTAAACATCCAAAAATACTCTCTTAGACAACCAGGAAAGACTAGAATGCCTCACATAGTGAAGATATGCAAAATCATTACTTCTTCTGCCCTATTACCTCTGGTTGATGCTCATCCTTCATGTAAAGCCCGCACAATCATTTTCATATTGCTTTTTTTATGCAATCAAAAGTTCCTGGGCAATTGCCAGTCTCAGTTAACTTGGTGACTGTTAATGGATTAATTGATCCAATTCTACATATACAAGACAGATAAGCTACCAGTGCATTTTTTTAACTACATCTCAAACCAATATTTAGGACTGCATTTTTGCTGTCCATACACTGGCTACAGCTGCCTCTTAAAAGAATCTCTGGCTAAAGCCACACAAAGGAAAGGTTTTAAATGAGCAGTCTATAAAGTTAACCAAGAAAAGAGCATTTTTCATTGCTAATTCCACCCATATAATGCAACTGATCGTGCAGAAAGATGCACTGTAGTTTCCACAGACCATACTAAGCATCTTCAGAATAGATCTAATACAAAATTTAATTTATATCTTTTTTTTCTTACTTTTTCAAAATTCAAACACTTTCAACCAACTGATCTATAAAATCGGAGAGAAAATTTTATAAATGCCTCCTCCCTGCCCCTGTATGTAAGCATTTCAAATCTTTGAAATTCAAACACTACTAACAAGCACTGGTTTTCATGAGCTTGCTGCTGTAGGAAGAGCCACTGAGAGGGCAACATGTAGCATTAAATCAAAAGTAATCAAATGCCATGAGCTTCTTTAATAATTCAGGAGGCTTCAGTTAATATTTGGGAGCATGAGAGAAGATATAAAGTGAGACAGAGTTGGTAAGAATTAGCTCCTGAAGCACTGTCTTTGAACAAATTAGTATTTGATGCTGTGATTTGATTATATTGCTGAGAGAACAGCATTTTTGCTGCTGATGCTGCAGTTGTCACACTGGAGTCAATGAAGGGAGACATTTAGAACACTTGTGCTTGGTATGTGCTCTGTCAGGCCACTGTGTAAGCCCAGGTAAAATGCAGCTTGCTCTAGAAACTGCTTCAGTACTTGAATGATGTTGCTCAGGAGCATGAGTGACTGGTGCCACCTTAGTCTGGGGGCACATGCCCCCCCACTGACCAATCAGTGACCGGGGTGGGGGGGCCCCCTGCGGCCAATCTTCCTGACTAGGGAGGGAGGGGGGCCCCCCTGCGGCAAAACTCACCAACCGGGAAGTGGCTGCAGTGCTCCCAGAAGTGGCTAGGGGGTGCATCAGAGCTCTCAGGGGGTGCACATGCACCTCTGTGCACCCCTTATGTATCGCCACTGCTCAGGAGACTGTTGGGTAAGGTCTGCCTACTGGCGCTTTCAGATATGAACCTACTTGAGCCTTTCACCTGAGCCAGAAGTCAAGAAAGCTGGATTGCCAGCTGCTGGGCACCCTGAGTTTGCAGTGAGAAGCAGAGTTCTTGGGAAGAGTGGGAACCGTAAACTGGGTGAAGGATAAACTGCTGGATCTCATCACTTTGACACCATAACAGCAGTAGCATTTTTACTAAAGAAAGCATCCTGTTGCTTCTGGGTCGTTAGCCCCACCGCCCTGGATTCCATTGCTACACACCCTCAATCACAGTTCTTTCCACAGCTGTTTGCCCTTTGCTTGTGAATAACAGCAGCAAATAACAGAGAGCGGATGCTACCCATGCAAGTATAACCCTCTTAGAACCAGAACGCAGCTTCCTCCCCTGCCCGCACCCACTCCCCATTCACTCCTCTACAAATGAGAAATTAAATCATTTGACATACTGCAGTAGTTGGCTTGGAAGAAAATAAATAAACCATGAATTCTTCGAGACAGTGCATTCCAGAGTCTTTATTTAGCAATGCTTGATCAGACACCTGTATAACAGTCACTGTGGTTGTGCAGCATTGAACTCTATTAAAGAGAGCACTAGTTACACTACTTTTATATATATATCATGTCATACTATACACTTTAAATACTGCATTGAGGAATATTCTCTTCTTAACAGAATGTTCCCTGGTACTTATCAAGCTTTTCTTCTTTTCCATACTCATTTTAAATCATCAGTTTACTAAAGTTTTAAGTAACTCTAGTTCTTAAGTCTTTGCTCTATTATAATACCAAAAACAAAAACTGGGCCTTTTTTCATAGGAGATGGTGTTGGTTCAGGAAAGCAGGAAGTCCAGAACATGTGGTAGACATCAAAAGCACAGCACTGCCCCCACACCTGTGTCCTGATGTCTTGTCTTTCTGTATGGGACAGGGTTTGAGTTATATGTATTTAGGTCCTGATCTTCCACTGCATATTCAGGTTAAAAATAGCCATTGACTCCAATGGGCATCTTGTCTGTTAGCAAAGAAGGCAGGATAGAGTCCTCAGAGCCAAGCTAGTAAGACTATACCCAGGCATGTCCCTTGGGATAAAGCACCTGGCATAAAGAAATCCCCTGTGGCTGACTTGTGGGCAAAACACAGGGTTCAAACCAGATAGGGCCTTAGTTACTGCAGCACCCAACTCAGAGATATCTGGTTGCCCACTATAACCCTCAGCCCCCAAGTTAGGTACCCAGATGTCTCACAGGGGCAGTCAGGAACAGAAGCTGCATGCGGAGTGAAGAGCCACTGAAGCTGGCCTGTAGGGAAGGACAATGACAGGAGTGCTGCCTAAAATCAACTGCTTGGAGGTATTTAGGTGCTTAACTCCGGTCTGGCAAATGGCACCTATTTTTGATCAAGGTTCACACCTTGAGAGGGGCTGACTGTACCAGCTCTATTTCATGAAACAGAGAGATTGAGAAAGAGAGAGAGAGAGAGAGAGAGAGACCTAACCCTGCCCCTGCTTTAGATTCATCAGCCCAAACATGTCAAACTCACCCACCTCATGGGCCAGATCTAGACCCAGCAGCAGCAGGGTGCATGGTGCTGTGGACTGTTCCTTTCTTCCCCAACACCAACATACAACCCCAGTGGGGCTTCATAGCAAAAAATTTGGCAGCAGGCCCTGCCCCTGAATTCCCAGCCCCTGTGGGCTGTATCTTTGACACCCTTTCAACAACTTGCTACCTATGCTCTCCTGGGATATGGGTAACAATCTGAAACAGGCTCTCCTTCCCAACCTTATTCACTGTTCTGTTGGTGGAAAACCCCCTGCCCCAAAAATGCCATCATCAGCTGCCTTCTGCATGGGGCCCCATCCTGTGGATATGTTCTGAGAATGCCTGTGAGATCAGGCTCTGCAGGTTGGATAAATGGGGAATCATCTCCTTGGAGAATCCTGCAGGGGTCTGGGCATGGGCCAGGGCTCTGAGCAGCTCAGTGGAAGAAGGAGCCGGTGGCTTTGCCTATGCTACAAAGCAGAATCTTAGAGTCCTAAGGACTTTGGGCATCTGGCAGCGTCAAGGGATGGGGGCTGGAGGCTGAGGGTCTTAGTGGCACCTAATATTGAACTTTGGCATCTGAACTGGCACTTGGGTGCTAAAGCCCCTTCTGGATTTACTCTTTATTCACATGTTGCTGGTTTGCCCTGGGATCAGTCACCCTGGAGTCAATGAGCTTCTGTGCAGTGAAAGTAGGAAAGCATCTACATCTCTGCAGGGCTGGTGCCTTAAGCAGATACTTAGGCCCATTATCTTCAATGAGACATATGCTTAGAACTAAAGCAAAGCACATGTTCAAGGGCTTTTTTGGGGCTGAACTAAAGCGTTCATTGGAGTATGCACTTTGCCGGGGGTGGGAAGTTTTGCGTTTTCTAACCTCTTCCAAAATGTTACAGGTTTTCATTTTTCAATTACGTTGATGGACGTGCTAGAACAACACAGCAAAAACTAACATCCATGTGTTCTGCATGACTGAGTACACGATCCAAGCTCTGCACTGAAGAATATTACACAGCAAAAGGTACAGGAAAATAAACACACCAGAAGTTCAGGGTGAGCTATCCCTAGAAGAAAAAAATCCCTAAGCTATTCCAAGGGTGTTAGGGTGGGGGGATGTTCAAGAGTAGTCAGTATTGGCCTGACTCTGTCCCCACTGAAGGCAAGGAGAAAAACTCACTTTGACCTAGCTCTGCTGATGCAGTTGTGTAGTCATTTACTATTGACTTCAATGACTCTTGAAAACCCTCCCCCTAAATAAGTAGTAGGCATTGCTGGAGATGCCACTTTGGTCCCCAAAGGGGTGAAGTGCTTCCTCTACCCCTCTACTGGCCACCATCCCTTGAAAAACAAACCTTGTTGGATGGCAAAGGCAGCTTTATCCTGTTTTCTTTTCCAGAGAGGACATCACAGTAACCTCAGCTCTGCAGAATAGGGTGAATGTAAGGGAAGAAGAAAACACGACAGATGGGGAACTCCATAAGGAGAAACTGGAATAAGACAAAAGGAAAGCAAAGCAGCACTGTAGAAGTTATGTGTCTCCTATTATTGGCTGTAGAAATAATCCTACTGTCCCAGACACGCAAAGAATGATAAATACCCAAAGGAAGACCCTGTCTATCACCATAGCCACATACTTCCAGTCATCTTCCACCTGCAATAAAAAAAGGATAAATCATATTTAATAAATGCTGGATTAATATTATCTCGCGATAGAAAGAAATCCTATGAACAGGGTGAACTCAGCAAACTGGATTACACCCAGATATTTTTTTTTTCAAAAGTGGCAAGTGATTTTGGATGCCCAGTTTAAGACTTCTTCCTGGGGTCTGAGTCTGATGCTTTGTGAAAAATCAGGCTCTGCTGAAGTATGTCACACCAAACCCCCCAAAACTCTTATCACTTCTGAAAAACCCTGGCCAAGAGTTCCCAATTCAGCCCAAGCATGAAGCTTCTCCTGGGAACACATATATGCAGGTCCAATAACAGGACTATGCCAGACTTGAGCAAAGAGAAATTCTACCTGGAGGTTCACCAGGGTTAGTTATTTTAGATTTATGCATATGAACATGAAAGCTGAATTTGGCTCAGAAGGTGACACAAGAGACAGTACACGTGCCACTGTATAATTCCAGATTTACTCCATTGATTTCTCTAGTGAAGGACCTAATCTATGTGGTGTAGAAGGGCACTGACTGAGCATAGCAACTACATGCTTGGTTATGCACTCTCCTGAATCCTGAACTGAGTGCTCTCAACACAACCCAGAAATACGCACTTGTTTCCCAGGGAGTTCCTGCCCTTTGAAATACTGCACTAAACCACTTCCAGAGAAGGAAAACTTCAGAATTAGTAATACTTACAAACATTTCTACCAGACCTAATCCAAGCATAGTGCATTATATTACATTGCCATTCCAGCCTGTTTTGACTTCATGGCTTTTTAGGGCAGCTTATCAGCTGAACATAGAATTATAGAAAAGTAGGACTGGAAGGGACATCAATCATTTGTCCAATTTCCTGCTTGAGGCAGGATCATCCCCATTTAAACCATTCTAGACAAGTATTTGTCTAATCTACTTAAAAACTTCAAGAACTCTTTTCATACACAACTACCAACACAAGGCCTGAAGCATCAAAAACACCCTTTAACTTGCCACAAGTAAAGCAGGTGGACAAGGGCACTCACTTTAAGGACAGGAAGTAATTTATTGTATAATGGAAGCCCTGTGAAAGAAGCTGTTTCTGCAAGATTTCCAGCCAACTTTCCTGGGCCAGGAAGTAAATATAAACTACAGGTAAGCTTTTAGGTGAATCAAACTAACCTCCAGATCATCTGAGAATCAATTAGATAGTTCCTAGTACTATAATGTGCACTTAGATTTAGGCACAAATAAGTTGATGGTGTCCCTCTAACAGGATTTACTCTTTCATTTCTCCTTCCCTTTACTGGCACGGGCCAGGATGCCTAAATGTTTTAAACTTTTGTCTCAAATTCAACACACACTGCTGTTTTTTTGGCTCTGGTTTTTCCTGTCTAGTGGACTCTTCTGCAGGCTGAAACTGAGCAGGAAGTAGCATTCTGATATCTGCAAGGGTGGGTTCAATGTTTTTTCTAGGATAAAAATTATAACCCCCCCCC